CAATACGAATATGGTATTGCACTGAATACTTTAGATACGTATCTCAACTATATTAGGGACTATAATGTGTAATCATGTAAAGATATCATTACATCAATTCACAAAAAAAAAAATCTAACTCATTGGGATTAAGAGGTACAAGGTTTGAGAAAGTCACGGTAAGGTTAAGTGAGTGAATATAACCAATTTACAAATGCCAATTTGGACTTACGGTGTTTCGAATACACCTATGTCCCCTCTGTATCGCAGCCAATGCCACCCAGCTCTTAAATAATTCAGGCTAACTGAAAAATCCCCATTCCCAGACTGGCCACTCCGCCATTGGATTATCATAACAATAATCGTACGTTTATCACTTTACTTTTTGGAGATTTACCGCTCGACTAAGTATGAGACGTTAGCCGATATTTTGTAATCGGCGCGTTTGTTCGGGTTATACACACTGTACTGGGTGGACAGTGGCCGGGGGGGGGGGTAAGTTTCGGGGTAGGATATTTCTCGGTGATAAGATTAAATTGAACCATAAATCGCATTTATCCGCTTTTTGTCTCGAAAAGCTGTTTTATCCTGAAAAATGACCGTATCCACCTCCCCGTATTGTACTAAACGACGAGGTGTGGTGGGTCGCCTTTCTTGTTTTCCAAACTTTTACCGCCCAAAACGATAAATACTTCCGACTTCGCCGTTTAAAGTTCAAGAAGTTATATTTACCCGACAACCAGGTCCGACATTGAAACACCGTGGGCCGTCCTTATGCACCCTACTCTTTGGACTGGAACTGCGTTGGAATACAATTTTTTTTTTACCGTTAAAAAAACCACAATTATAATTATTATTATTATTTTTTTTTTAACTCGCCTTGTTCGCGTAGCGTTTGAACGTCCGGACAGTTCCGACTAAACTAGGTACCTAGAAAACGTCGTCCCTTTTCAAAAACAACAAAAAAAACACTGTTATGTTAGGTTGCACACACACACAAAATAACCTTTTATTACTATTATCCAGTAAAAAAACACTATATCGCGTGTACTGGGGGCGTATTACGACCGCATGACTCATCTAAAATATTAATAATAATAATAATTATAATTATTATATATATTTTTTTAATATCATCATAATGTTACTATACGTTTGCCAATATCGAGAGTTCACGTTACAAACACAATAACAACAATATTATTACTAATCCCACGCGACACCCCAATAGGTCGGTTAGATGGTATTTCGTACTTAGTTATCAACATATTTTGTATTGTTATTGTTTTTTTTAATTTAATTTATTTAAGTGGTGACTATTGTACCCTCTGGCCAATCGATCCGCGCGGTTTTCATCGGCCGGGCAACGTTATGTTTACCTAACCGGTACGGTCTGATAATAAAGTGCGTTGGGAAGCAATCGCCATGTGTTTACTTCAGTATATATAAATACAGTAATCCACCCTACCTAACGTTTTGTCAGCGGTATGATTAAACAGATCCATTAGTTTGGGTCGACAATCCAATCCGGTAATGCGAGCAAAATTAAAAAAACACTAAACAACACTAAAGTTAATGGTTGAAAGTAACACGGAAAGCTTTGCCGCCGAACGAGCGTTTATATTTAATGAAAACCCTAACCGGTCGGTTCACCTTTGACGGCCGCCGCAGCTATCTAAAACTACTACCAACATAAAAACAAATATATACAATGTATATAATATGTATTATATATACAACATAATATGTATATATTTATTTTAAACGGCTTTTTTTTTAAGTTTTTTATTTTTTAGATAATTTTTATAACGATCGGCGCTATAGCCTGACATCTATTTTTTAACATTCCGTTACTTTTTGGAAATTCAATGGACCTTCTCTTTTTAAAATGGTTCCGCCGTGCCCAGTGGTCTTTTCTATACAGATACATTAAGACGTTTGGGCATCAACACCTCCGGATTATCAAACGCGAATTTTATTTGTCACAAAGTTTTTCGTTACTCAACCTAACCCCGTACAATATTATTACGGTACATGAAAAATCGCGATATAGCCTCTCCATCTAGTCGAAACAATTATCTCCTCGAAAACGCTCGAATACCGAAATAATTCTGTGGTTGTTTATTCAAGTTATGTATGTAAAACCGAGTACAGCTGTTCATCTACTACCGCAATTATTGCACTATCGACACCGACGAACTTGAGTGTGGTCTATTGTCAGGTATCAATCACCATGGTCTTGGTATTGTCATGACTCGTGGTTCTAGCAGATACCTAATCTGACCTCATCTGATAATTAAGATACACATTTTGTTTAAGCAGCAATTTTCGTCATTGTACAAAGGATGGTATTTACGTTGATACATTTACACGGTTGATCACTTCACGCTTTTATTGTGTGCTTTTTTATTTAACTGTTGTTGTGCGACTGGCAGGTGCCGTTTATAAGTGAAAGGAAAATTGTATTAAACAAGTAAGGCCGCAGCCACGATGCACGGAGTGAGTGAGTGTTGAGCATTGATTAAGAGAGATGTTAGGAAAATTGAAGTGACTGACATGAGAATGTCGGGACGAATGTGTGGAGTGAGTTGACTAGGTCAGACATAATATAAGGAATGAATACATAAAACGAAGACAAGAAGATTAAGAGTTGCGTCAATAAATTACAATTTATTTTAGTGTCCCTAATTTATAAATTAGCCCAAACAACATTAAACTAAAAGACAAATTATTTACATACATTTTTATTAGCTGTAATAAAATGAATCTACAATTTTATTAGCAAAGAAGAGGAGGCCATAACTTGTAATTGTGTTTACTCGGTGGCACTACAACAGGTAGGTTTGATGTGATATTTATTTTTCAAAACTCTTACTTTCACCACTCGAGCAGATCTGGACAGTCTGGGATGCTCTCGATTAATTTATATGGATAACAAAATCACATCAGTGTATAACATACTAAATTCGAGATATTCGTGTTTTATCTAACCGCCACAAAGCGCAAAAATTGGATTTCGAATTTTCCTAGTTAATCCACTTGAGCAGGGCTCCAGGCTATAAACACAGCTTTTGAAGATCGACCTAACCCGGACCCAATAAAGCACTCTCAAAGAAGTCCTTACAGATCCTTTTCAACAATCCTATTACTTTCAAACACTGCCTGTAAATGCAGTCGTTATGGTCATTATATAAGAGGTTTGAGGTGAAGACACACAACGGTTTTTATCTATAGGTACTTTGTATTCCGTCGGCTATGGAATTATCTATTTTTCTGCGATCAATCTATCCTAGATTCGATTTAATCTGTTCACAGGTTCACTCGGTTCTAAAAACCTAACTCAATCGGAGGACCGTGAAACGATTTAGCGGTTTTCCACATCATCGTCATCGTCATCACAACAAACGGGCTTGTAATTCGATTAGACGGACATAACCACAAAATCGTGGTGTATCGCACGAAAATCCATAAACCAGGCCGTACACAAAGTAAGCCCAAGTATATTGTTATTTGGAAACGTCGGATGGCTTCGTGTCCGGAGACTTCATCGGTCGGCCGTCTCACGGTCATTGGGTTTTTTTTTTTTAGAAATGCCTCCGGACTAGAATTTTTGTGCGCTAAAATCCTCCGGACATGAGTTCTGGACATGTGTTATTAGAATTCCGAGCAACTATAATGGAAGAGACGACGTTAATTTCACGTCGCCACGTTGACATCGTGACAATGTGATGATAGACTTGACTAGCCGGACCGGGCAACGTATTGGAAAATATTTCGCCAAAAAATATAATAGAAAAAAATAATACATACTCAAACTCTCTCTCTCTCTCTCTCTCTCCGTTTAATCTTGTCTTGTTACTACTATAGGAGTTTCTTTGAAAATAGCTATACCGTGCCCGCGTCGATGACCATCAGTTTCTTTGGTGCGTCAACGAGTAAAAAACCACGTCATAAAAATCCCGTCGTCTTAAGGGTCGACTAGAGGTCATACGCAACCCAAGAGCCAAAAAAAAAAAAAAGGTTTAACGGTTCAATCAAAACCGAACGGACTAATGGCAGACAGCAGCGTTTACTCCCTTCATCTACTCGTTTAATTACACTAAAAGAAAGATATTGGAACGAGAACCATAAATACATCTATTTTTGTTTTGTCGAACCCGAATTAGGCTTCGTATTTTCTCGAGGACGTCTTAATATTTATTAAATAGTCTACAGAGTTAAAAATAAAAGCGTCAAAACCATAAATACAGCCACCCGTCCACCTTTTATGCATTTTAAGATTTTTCCTCCACGCTGTTAATGATTTTTGAAATTGCAAATTTAAACATAGAATTTTTACCTCAACCCACCTTAAAATTTAGACGAAACTACCTAAACTTAGCCTACCTAAATTACGTTTTCGGATCCAATGTTTCGATGTTGTAAATGCTAATTAAGCGTACCAAGACCTATGAGTACGCTACCCACTCGTAATTTGTGGTGTGAAAACAGGGTTTACGAGAATGAATACTGTAGGAGCGTTGATAGTACTAAATTCACCAAATTTTCATCGGAAAATTGAGCACGATAATATTATCTGTTGCTTAGCGTATTAGACAACTTTATCATAGATCAAACAATATTTTTCTATGCGTTTTTTTTTAAATTAGGTTTTTTTCAATAAATTATTAAAAATACTAAGGGTTGAGTTAGTGAAAATTAAAAAATGCTTAGGCGCAGATAAAGGTCACCTCTATTTTTTTGTGAAAATTGTGTGATTTCACAACAATTCCAAGACACTGGTTTTGCAATTTTCTCTATAGACACAACTGTGATAGTGTGACAAAATTAGAAAATTATATCTAACAAAAAATACACACTATAGATTAAATTAAGATTTTGCAAAAATTCGCCTATACTTTACTCGTTAATAAAAGGTTGGATATCCGTCTAGAGGGGAGGGGGGTGCCAGGTGTGGACATGTACGACATATTATAATATCATATTATATATTTTATGTTATACATAATATGGAAACTGACCGGTACACGCAACGGCGGTGGCGGCGTCCTTAGAATGTCCGCGTTGTCCGTCTTTCTCCTCACCAAGACGACGGCGGCGGCGGCTATCCGTTTAAAAGGAGAAACTTCTTGGCCGACGCCGGACGACGCGCGCGGCCGCTGTCCCACTTGTCGGTTATTGACACCGATGCGGCGCGCAACGCGTGATACTTCTTGTGATATCGATACAGACACAACACTTGCCAGTGCCGGTAACGGCGACGGGACACCGGTAACGATAATATTTTCGGTAAATTTTGCTTTTATTCGCACTTACCGCGCAAACCGATCGCACTGGACGCACCGCACCGAACCGGCCGGCACCGCGAAAACCGAAAATCTCGCACCACCACCACCACTACTACGACCACCAACACTATACCGGCACACTGTCGACCGCACCGCACTACTGCTGAAATAATAATATACTCGACGACCTCGCCGGGGGACAATGAGTAACCCCCGTCGATGGGGGGGTGAAAAATGAATTTTTTTTTTATAACCAAATTCGAAATCCTGGTGTTATCACCGCGCGCGTGTGTTATACCTGTTGTCCGGGGATGCCACGTTACAAAACTGAACGCGCGCGCTCCGCACACCACAGCGCACGGCACGCAGGTATACAATAATAATAATAATAATAATAATAATATAGATGGAAGAGGACTGCTCGCTGTACTACACTACAGGCGAGTCGGCGAGAGAGAGAACGTTTCACACACGCGGCGAGTACGGTGGAACCGGGTAGGAGGACGTCCCCGCCATATTCGGTCGCCGCCGGTAAACGCGTTCCGGTCAGAAACGTCGTCGGCTGCACGGACCGGCAACGTCGCGCAACCGGTTCGGCCCGCGTTTTCTACACCGCCGCGCCGGCCGGTTACGCCGTACCCCCACCGCGCCGGTTACCATCAAAACAAGCGTGTAGACTGTAGTGCCGCCGCCGCCGCACGCACTTGCGCTACACGACCGTCATTTTATATATCATATCGTAATGTAGTATAATAATATCGCCGGTCATATCTACACGGGGTTCGTGTAATATTATTATACGTGTTCGTCTATGCCGTCGCCGCCGCATAGCTGACCTACAACGGCGGCGTATCGGCCGTCGCGCGACGTTTCGTACCTACGCGGCATTTCGCACAGCATCTGATTTCGTTTTGGGAAAGGGAGAGGCGGTTACTTCTTTTTATGCGAGGGAAACCGGTACAGCGGCCGCCGCTCCGAGGTCAAGAACGGCGGCGCGGTTTCCCTCCAAAAAAAAAAAATAATAATAATAACAATAATGCTCTTGGCCGATCCGAGTCAAAACAGTCGGGTTTGACCTTACACGTCGATTGTACCTGTTATTGTTATTATTGTTTTTTTCGGTACAATCGTCTGCGAAGGACTGTAATAGTGATTTTTTAATTTGTTTTTTCTTTTTATTCTAATAACAATAACAACGCGACATATTACTTTGCTCGACGGACGCGAATGGCCAAATGAATCCGATGAAATTTAACCGAAAGTATGGTTTTGGCCATCTAAAGAACTATTTTTCCACATGGTACTAGCAGAGAGGGGTGGGCACGAAACCCGTCAACTGTTTTCAAATAATATACACTATCCCTCAGGTCTCAAAACTAGTGCTCAGTGCCTCCCCCCTCCCCAAAAAAAAACCTCACTTCTGATTACAATTATTAAGCACATAGTCCGATGTACGTTTTGATGCCAAAGTGAATAGCTACTTATAAACATAAATTACACTCTTGCGACACAAAACAAACTATGTATATTTACATAGCAGCTGTTTAGTTGATAATTTTGCCCAAAACTTATCGTGGCTGCGCGTTTCTCAAACGAGTTGGTCGGTTAGTTTTTTTTTCGGATTGTAGCGATAATTTCAGTCAAATTAATACGGCAGCCGAATAAAAGCTTTGATACACGAAAAAAGTATGACCTAGATCTGAATAGACGCTGTTAAACGATACACACAAGATGGAAAACCGTTTTCTTTTACACGATTCGTTTTTCAATTTCCCGTATGCAATTTATCTAGTTTTCAAATTTACCCATCAGACACACTAGGAGGTAAAATGTCTAATTTTATTCATTGAAATCAACAACTGAACACTGCCGACCAAACAGGTTACGGGCAAAAGAGAGACTAATTTTTTCTCCAGACCAGCCCAAAGAAAGTAGCCACTAATGAACAGCGATGAGTCATCACTCATCATATAGCAGCATGCACCTATTTCGGTCGCCCAGCAGTTATTTATTTAATAGAAAAATAATATCTTTGGGTTCCAATTTTGTAGTTATTTTTGAAAAAACTATTTTTCGTGTTTTTTCAAGTTATATGACACTCACTTCTTCGATATGGAGGTGTCGCAGTCGAGTGAAAGACGAAAGTGTAATTACAATAATAATAATATTTGTACGCGTTAAATTAAAGCGGTACTATTTGTTTTAAACGTTAAATCACCATTAGTCACGAAATTAGACACTCGTATAAATGTATTCAAAGAGAAAATTGCAATTTTCAATCATCACGTTTTGCATAGTAAATCATGGTGTTCTTACTTTCAAAAATTATAATATACATATACATAATTTATGATATTTTAATGTAAATACATTATAGAGATGTTGTACTGTTAAACACTTATTATAATGCGCATGCTTTGGGCATTATTTGAATACATTTTTGCTTGGATGAAACAACAAATGAAAAAATAATTTTTTATCAGATAATTTATGACAAACTTATTTATTATTTATTTGAATGTCTAAATAACAATAACAACAGAAATAATCTAGAACACACCCTTACGGCCATGTACTAATGTTGTATTATTTTTATATTATATACGTATAATTTTAAATGGACATTTATGTATATAAACGGGTACTACACGCAATTAATATTAATGTGGCAAAGTAGGTTCCAACTCCCATGTTACAACTAAGAATATACACTAACAAACTGATAACAATTAACAACTAAAATAACATAAATAGTTTAAAGTAATTTTTTTTCATTTATACATAAATGATCATAACGTCAAAATAGTCTTCATCGACGTACATAGAAATAAAGTAAGAGTGTTAACGGCAATGGATGTGAAAGGAATAAGAAGAGTTTGAAGAAAGTTAACAAAAAAAAAAAGGTGCCCAAAAGTAATTGAAATGGTATAAAGACGGTCGATAAGTATGTGTAAGTGAAGAATATGACAGACGATTTTATTTGGACGCTGAAGACTCGAGTTGTCGGCCCTAAGTAATTAAGTGAAAAATGTTAAGTACAAGAGGAAGATGAGTTTGCTTTAAATTTATTCTATTGATAAAAACTAGACAGTAAAAAGCCTAGTCGATAATTATTCAGGACACGCATTTTGTCAGGTAAAACATTACTTTTATGGTTTTTTATTATTTTTTGTCAAGAAATAATTATTATTAATACATTCCACGTTACTTGAAAACGAGTGTGGGTCCGTTTTTATTAACTCACTGATTGTAGTACTTAAGTTAGGATGTGTAATTGTGAGTGGTACAAACGGAGAAAGCGGTCAAGTGCATAGAGAAAACATATCTATAATGTAAACCCGTGCTCTCCAATTCGACTATTTTGATATAACAAACACAATTACACAAGGAACTAGTTACTCATCAGTAAAATTACACAAAATAAATAAAAACTCACGTGACAATTCAAGTGCAGATCTAAGTAATTTTCAAGACCATGTTTAAACTACAACACAAATGCGAATGTTCCAAGTTAATTTTCAAATAAAACTTTAGCAAACAATACCGCTAATATACCTCTATACAGGCAAAATCAAATTAAACGAGACAAAACTAAAAATTCGAAAAAGCACAAGTTGTGGAACTTTGAATACAAAGTGTTATAGTTATATTGTGATTTGTGATAAAATTACAGTTTAACAAACAAGTCTTTTTGACCCAAAAAAATGGACTTGAAGAGATCAGTGGAAAAAATATCCATTTCATTTCCTCAGGCTTCAAAAAAAATACAAGAAAATCAAGCGATCACGATGACGTTTTTATTGACAATTACCTATAAAAGGTTTTGTGCAAACAATATTGTCAATAATAGTACTAGGCAAAGGACCCTCGGACTGGTTTTCTATGTATCGCAAATTTGTATTTTCTTTTGAGTTTGGACTGATGTTATTATTATCAAGGACGGACATATTATTAAGTAGAGTTGAAAACAAAGTCTGAAAACGTATGTCATTAGCCTGGAAGCGCTACAAGTTTCCCAGGTACCTACTATAAATGTCTTATTGCAACCCTTTGAACTTGTTACTATGTTTTGCTTTTAAAACATACTAGCTACAATATAATAGCTACAGTAATGCTTTTGTTCGTTAGACTTTTCCTACATTCGGCACATCAGAGTTATGTCGCTATTCGTTGTTTCATTCCATTCAGAGTAATATATTTAAAAATATAATATACTACCCAAATACACTCTTTGTGTCACTTTAGACACTCAGACTAAAATATCCAAAATAAATTCCAAGTCAAGTAGTGAACTAAATGAATTAAATGGAGGTTATCTCAATTTATTTGTATTGAATTATTTCTAAAGTAAGTTTGACCGACTTAATATGACTTTATCGCTTTTAACATTACAAAATACACAAAAAGAGAAAAAATTAGTACAATCGTTTGTAACTGTAATTTTATCTGTTCCAAACTTCTTGCTCGATCCAAATAATTTTTAAAAAAATCTCATAAATGGTAATATATATATTTTTTTTAACTCTTTTTAGGACTCTTCTAATATAAATAATACATTATATTGTAATATGTGGGAAAGCCGACAAATATAAGTATATATTTAAAGTATATTCACGTACAAAATCGTCCATAAGAAAAATATATTCAATCCCCATTCTCTTCGAGTATAAACAAACCATATTATTATATTATATTATATAATGTAATGTATCATCTTTCATTCTAGTAGTGTGTGTACGCTGTGTACTTGACTCGGAATACATAACACGGAAATTTACATTTTTTGAAAATTCTAACAAGGCAACAAATAAAGGTAAACAAATAATGGCGAACGAAAAACCGACATGGTATGATACTATGTAATTTAAATAAACACCATAAATCATCATAAATCAAGGGCACGTCAAATTCTAGTCTGACGTAGGTGACTTATCGACGAGTTGTAAAAATTGTAAGCTTATTGGGTATCAGACTTCATATGTGAGGTATTAACCTTAAATTCTGTTTTTTTTTCGAATAGGAGAAACACAAAATGTTTTTACCAAAACCCCCTTATAATATTCAAAATGATGAAATCGATCAGAATATTGTATTCATACAAGTGCACTCGAAAGTTGACAAACTTTATTAAAACCACAATCTTATTTATTTGCGGATATGTGGATGTCTTAACTCACTGGTTTTAAGTCTAGACACAGCTTGAAAAACCACCTTTTCTTAAAATCTCTACTTACTAAGAAAAAACTTTATTTTTTCCATTTGTACAACTCTCGATTCTACTGTGAAAACTTAAACGTATTGGCGATAATAAATCCTCTTAAAGGCTTTTAACTAACTTAATACAACTTGTTTGTTAGTAGAATAAAAAAAATATATCAGTAGACAGTAACGAATAAACGAAGCCTCGTAAAGCTCGAATGTCAAAGTATATATAAGTTT